ACACGTGGCATGTTATCTAGCTATACAGTGGTATGTGACACGTGGCATGTTATCTAGCTATACAGTGGTATGTGACACGTGGGATGTTATCTAGCTATACAGTGGTATGTGACACGTGGCATGTTATCTAGCTATACAGTGGTATGTGACACGTGGTATGTTATCTAGCTATACAGTGGTATGTGACACGTGGCATGTTATCTAGCTATACAGTGGTATGTGACACGTGGCATGTTATCTAGCTATACAGTGGTATGTGACACGTGGCATGGTGCTATGTGACACGTGGCATGTTATCTAGCTATACACTGCTATGTGACACGTGGCATGTTATCTAGCTATACAGTGGTATGTGACACGTGGCATGTTATCTAGCTATATACTGCTATGTGACACGTGGCATGTTATCTAGCTATACACTGCTATGTGAGACCCATGACTCAAGTTCTCACCCACCTCTAGTTCACCTCACACAACACATGGCTCCTTTTCTCAACAAACCGTTGTTCACCTCGCACAACACACACACCATGTTCCCCTAACCGTTGTTCACCTCACACAACGCACGTCAATGCGTCTCAAAATATACAACACACGATTCTAGCACTCGCTAAACTGCTGCCTACCGCACACACTGTTATCTTTGACAAAGGTCAGATACAGATATGTCCCGACTACGCTATATCTTGGGCGTATATATTGACCTATATCTATCCTTATCGAAGGTTAAGTACAATTTCCAGTCAGTGCAGACTGTGGACTCCAGTATTAGGAACTAAAATGTCACAACGATCTGTAAAGGTTGACAGGACAGGTGTCAAAGAACGGACGTTGGAAGACAATCATCTTCAACATCATTCGTAGCTATTCGTCCATTTCCGTAACCTGAAAGAAGATTCGTACCCCTCTCGTAGCCATGTCCGGGAGAAATATTGCCCCAGCCAATCAGAATGCGCGTATATGGAGAAGGAATTGTGTCAAAATAGTTAGTTGAAATCATTTTCATTTCGGCTTGCATAATTTTTTGCCCAGGCACTTCAAATATATTTTGATTATTGCATAGTCCTCCTGGGTTTCCTGTACTTTTATAAGCAGGATATATTAACATTATGGCGTAGGAAAGTATTTAAGCATGTTAAACATACTCTTTGAGGTAATTTCCTTGGCGTGGATGCCATGTTTGTTTTCCAACTAAACTGGAGTTACATGCCCTTGAAAATAGTTCGGCGACTAGACTATTTCTTTCTCTCTAAAGTCAAGTTCAGTAAAATGGCTACGAGAGGGGTACGAGTCTTCTTTCAGGTTACGGAAAGGGACGAGTAGTTACGAGTGCTTCATTATAGAGAAAAACCATAATAATCCGGGCGGTTATGTCCGGTCCGGTTAAACCAGTATTCTTTGTAGTCTGATGTTTACTCCTTAGGAAGCTGACAATACAAATCGAGTGGTCATTGATTCAACCATCGGGAAAATAATTCTGTGCTGCTTCAGAAATGAATGCTTTGTTATGGTTGTTGTCGTCGTTCTCGTGGTATATGTTGTTGTTGTTGTTGTTGTTGTTATAACTACTTACCACGCCACTAAGGCAGACCTGACATAGCCGTAGCGTAGTTTCCGAGTGAGTACTGCTGGTTGGGCGATGGGTGTGTATCGTACATGTCCCGGGGCTCCAGTATGTCACGCAGGGTACGCCCCCCCCCCCCCCTCCCCCTTACCTTTAGTCACGATATGGCTGAAATATTGCCGACGTGACTTAAATCTTAACTCACTCACTCACTCACTCCTCCTTACCTATACAGTATAATAGCATAACCTCTGTCTTACGAAGCTGTTTAAGACTATTGAGCTTTACTCAGTAGCAAGTACATCATCACAGTCTTCAACCAGGGAGGTCTCTTTACGCAAACATAACGAGGATGTCACCCAGCGTTGTCAGTGTTATACAGAGAAAGTATGTGTGTGCGTGTGAGTGTGAGTGTGTGTGGAGAGAGCGGGGGTACTTCTGAGCGCGTGCTGTCTGTTTTCATTGCTTGAAAACACTCAATTCGCGCGATTTCATGTTGGACAACAGAATCGCGTATGATTATACTGCAGATTAACTGAGTTTGTTTTTGTCACGCATGGCTCCTGTAATGTTTAGCATATATGGGTATGCCACGCATACACATCAACCGATATGTCTCATCAATGTTTGTCTAGCTGGAGGTGAAGTCAAATTGGATTAAGCTGTAGCACTTGTCCGGAAATGTGCTTTGGAGTAGATTATTTTGTTGTCATAGCTTAAAGCAGGAGTAGCCACACTCTGGACACATTTAACTTGTTTAAAACGTCCCGTATGTTCTATTAACATTCATCTGTACAATCGGAGAACAGATCAGGTTTTTAAAGTACCTTCAACGCACATCAGATCGTTTTCCCTACGTTGTGGGAACTACACAGCGGGCAAGAATGTCTCAGGCAGTCTTCTAAGTAGCGTCACCTTAACACGCTTGGTCAGTGAATTCCTCACTGGGGTAAGGCTAAGTGTGTTTGTGTTAACACAACAAGGCTTAATTCCTTTAACTGCGTCTAATACAGAGCGTATCCCTGATGTTGTGTCGTGTCTGTACACTATGGTCAAGACAGCGTTATAGCAGGGGCCAGTAGACGGGGTATTTAGGAACAAGTGGCGATTATTGATTGCTCAATTTGTTTCGTCCGACAGGTTTTGTGGCCAAAACACAGCCCTGCTTGCTTTTTCTTCACGTCGTTTGCCAGCTTAAGTGACTGGGCCTTCGATCAATATCACGTGATTGAGAATTTATGTTCCGGGGGAAAGTATATTGATCTGAAGTTGCGGGATAAACATCAGATTTCCTTCGGCCAACAACGTCATTGATTCCCAATCAAGAAACTAATACTCAATGTTGCATTTGTATTGAACAGGTTGCTTTCAGGTTTTTGCAGCCAAGTTAGATTCGATCTCCTATCGATGTTCTTTTTATAGTATTATCGGTGTAAATTTGTCACCGGTTTGTCGCTAGATCTGCGGTTGGGGATTAGAAGATCTTAAGTCGATAAAGTTTGATGTGTTCATTTTTGCCGATCAGTCATCAGATCTTCAAGGTCACAATGTGTTAATACAGTTCTGTTGTCGCCGCCACCTCATGGCTGTTGAAAGCGCGTAAAATGATACTCACTCACCTAACTGAAAGGATTATGTAAGTGAACTTACCTTGACATACTTAAATAACGTCTGCTGTATTGATATGTCATGGAAGAGGACACAACAATATTTTTTAAATTTTGATTATTCAGTCCACTTAGTAGGTAAGATTAACGTTATAATAATGCGTGTGTTATAATGGCGAGAGCAAGACACAGGCCAACTACCCAGGTCGCCTAACTTCGTATCATATCGATCCAAATCGATTCAGTAATGTTGATCAACAGAACAGCGTACGATTTAGTTTGCAGAATTTCTGCATTTGTTTGTTTTTGCCACGCTTAGGCAGGCATGACTCCTGCTTTGTGAAGAATGCTTGTCAGGTGATGGCGACATTACATGCGATTGATTCAGGGCTGAAGTACTCTATAACGCTGAGGTGAAGACACTTTACACAAGAGTGAGTGAGTTCAGATTCACGCCGCTTTTAGCAAAACCCCAGCAATACCACGACGGGTGACACCAGAAATGGGCTTAACACATTGTACCCAGGTGGGGAATTGAACCCGGGCCTTCGGCGTAAGAAGCGAAGGCTATAACCACCCGGCTACCCAATCGTCCCTTTTATACACAAGGTATGCAAGCGGGTGTGTCTGTGGCTGCTTGTACGAACCAGGATTAATGGGGGTGTTATGATGCTATTACGGCCACCCCACCTGGACATAGTAGCGGGACTCAAAGACCAGGGCAACAAGTACAATGTTTTACCTTTGTCTTTTGTATGATCTAGCCGGTGTCGAAATACCGACCTATGGTTCCCCCGACATACGCTTTATCCAATATACTACAGGGTTGATCTTATGTGTCAGAAGTACAGTACTTACACACGAAAGAGTACGGTACATTTCTGTGCAGTTCAACATTACCAAAAATGGATTTTTCCACAAGCTGACACTTCTCGCGATAGAGCGTTTACCTGCTAGGTGACTGACGAACTCACTATCCGCTCACCTACCTGTCTCGGTTAACTGCTCCGATGTACATCAGGGGAGATCGCGTACCATTGGTTGCACTGGAGGCCAGTTGTCTGAGATTAGTTACGTCAAATTGGAGGCTATCTTGATGATATGTTTCTGCATATCATACCATACTCCTACCCATAGGCTTCAACAAAATCTGAAACATGGCGTCAGTCTGTACATAATCATCGCCTGAAACTCCCCTCCTATATACATCAGACTATGGTTATCAAAACGGCGTTGACACAGAATTACACACTCATTAAAATAATGACCACGAGGAGCAGATCCTGCTGACATACGTCCTTGACGTCCATTTACCTGTGAAAATACAACGGGCAGAAATATGTAAAGCCGAGGATGAGTTACCCAAGGTGGAACAGGCCGGGCCAGGTTGCCCAAAGCGATCTTAGCAATAATGTGGTCGTCAGTGCCAGAGTGCTATGATAGTGGGGGTGCTTAGCTCACTTCCGACATTGCATACATGAAGTCATGAAACGTTAGTGCATGTCTTCAAATGAAATCTAATTAAATCTTCTGCGAAAATGAATCGGTAATTTTGAGCATCCTAATGACTGACTGACTGAATTTGGTTTTACGCCGCTTTTAGCAATATTCCAGCAACATCACGGCGGGGGACACCAGAAATGGGCTTCACACATTGTGCCCATGTGGGGATTCGAACCCGGGTCTTCGGCGTGACGAGCCAACGCTTTAACCACTAGGCTACCCCACCGCCCCGCATCCTAATGAACATTAATGCGATAGATATGCTTGACAGAATGATTTTGTCATTGTTTTTCATATTAATATTTTTTACATTATTTGTTGTTTAGGAAACGAGGACGTTGTCAATGGTAACCTGAAGCTGGTGTTGGGCTTGCTATGGCATCTGATCCTGAGGTACCAGATCAGCTCCAGCAAGTCCAAGGCCCCTCCCAAGAAATTGATGATGGCGTGGTTCAAGTCCGTCCTCACCGACATCAACATCGGCAACTTCACCACAGACTGGAGTGACGGCATTGCATTACAGTACGTAGTCGTGAACGTCACGGATGACGTCGTACTACTAGAGTTGTGGTGTTAAACAAGAGGGGTTAGGGGATATAATGTTCAGGTTATTGATTTAAGATTCCGATTACGGGAATACTATACTCTGTTTGCAGTGAAAACGTACCGATGAATTTCACTTTAAGCAAAAATGTAAATAAAATATAGTGAAATGAAGATTGCGAATCCTCATGAATTCATCTTGCCAATTGCAGATTTAAATCTCAGAATTTTCAACTTAGGATAAAATTGGTTAACAAACAATCAAAGATTCAAAACGCTATTATTGGTTTGTATTACAAGGGGGTTAGTGCAGTAGTTGGAACAATGAAACAAATGCACGTGCGATACGTGGTGAGTGTTAACTTAGACCAACCCTACTTGTTCTCGGTGTTTCATTTAATGTGCATACCCGATTGTAATACAAACTATTAAATTACATTTGTCTGCACGCTGCATTACTTTTCAGAAATGGAGCGATGTGTACCAGCTTTTCAAATTATAGCTTTCATTTTGTCATTTTGACACTTAATTTTTATAACAGAAATATTACCAATACTTTGAATGTAATTAAAGTAGGGTAATGACCTCGTAACTCTCCATTCCTTAAAAGCCTCGGCTCCATTGTTTTTAAGGAATGGAGAGTGACTCGGACATTACCCTCTACGCCATGTGTGGACGTTAAACAGTGGAATAACTGTGTCGTATTCCTGATCTCGGCACATATATGTTTTTACAGTGCCCTTATTGAATACTGCAAGCCAGGGACCTGCCCGGACTGGAGAAGTCTACGTCCCCAAAATAAGTAAGTAAAAATATAATATATCATGTACTATCTTTGTGAGTAATTAATGACAATAATATCCCCATACATACCCCAGGGCCAGACAAACAGGTGACTGAACGCATGAGCGACGAGCCATTCCACAATGACTCACAGACAGGTGAGGTGACCTCCCGGACCCATTGTGAATTAGGTCATACAAGCAGAGATTCCCTGAGACGAAAAAAGCTCAAAATATCCTGGATACCATCTAAGTTCTTTCTTGTTAAGACGACTGAAGATTAAAGTCATCTAAAATCGACTTCAGCTGTAACGTTGTTTAACGGGCCTGAGTTTGCACATGTTTGAATAAGAAGACACTATTCCAACCCTGCGACCTTTTAAACAGTTCAAAGTCAAATGTCTCTCAAAAAGTGAAGACAGTGTATCTGTACTAAGTCTATAACAGACGGATTAGCCTCCACCGAAATCTCTTTTCAAACCTCACCGTGTCCTTGTCTTTTTATCCACTCTTTCGAGATTTTTTTGATTTTTTTATTTCGCAAGGATCTGTTGTATTTTGTCTTTTCGTTTTTCTCCCCGAAGGGTGGAGAACTGTCGACAGGCGATGCAGCTGGCAAAACAGCACCTGAATGTCCCCAAGGTGATCAGTCCTGAAGACTTCGCCAGCAACGCTCTGGACGAACTGTCAGCCATGACTTACCTCTCCTACTTTCTGAAGAAGGACTCGCCAGGGTACTACGCCACACTCAACTGGGTGTGTCGCCAGCTCCGTACCACCGCCATCAGCAACCTCTCGGTAAGACATTCTCATCATTGTCACATTGAGTAGCAGTGGAGTAGAAGACAGAGATTGTTACCCAGGTTATAGGTGTCTTCAAACCCGGGACCGTTTTCCATCGGATGTTATGTTATAGAGGGCATGCATGTACATAATTAGTAGCGACAAAACCCTTTCCACATTTATAAGAAATTATTGCTACCAAGATTATTTTGTAAATGCATACATTTCACTTGTAACATTAAGAATCTATTAAAGCGCTCTTTATTTGCTTATCACGTTGTAAGTATTTTTTACATCCACGACAGTCATTATTCATTTTATATTTGAAAATAAAATTAACGCATTTAGTGTCCTTTCTAGCATTAAGTCTAAATATGATATTAAGTGAAAAGTGCTTGTGTGTTTTTCGTTTTTGTTTTGGATTAAGTGTTATATTTTGATGTTGTACTTTGAATTGCAATTGTAATAATGCATGCAAAAGACACAGTAGAAAACATATCATCATGTCTGGACATCCCTCCCAGGTAATGTTAATACTTGTTTGGTTTGGTTTTCGTCCTTGTTTTATCAAACCAATTTGCTCATGAACATGAACGAAAAACACACCGTCGGTCATCACGTTCATCGTCGGTCATCACGTTCATCGTCGGTCATCACGTTCGTCTTCTTACCGTGTGTATAAGAAATGACAACATTGGGACGCAGCAATCCTTATGTCCCTACATCGCAGAGTGACTCTGGGAATAAAATATTTACGTCCATTAAAAACTGAAATATCATCTATGGGGCCAACTCACTTATTTACATTTTTTAAAACAATGCACTTGAATCTCTTATCAAAACACGTCCCCAATCTGAGAGTACAAGACAAAAGACATAACTTACATGCTGAGTTCCTTGCATCTATTTGACACCAAATTCTTATACCAAATATTAGCTCTGTAAGCAAAGGCGACGGCGGTAGGCACAACGACGTCTTTGGGAACGTCCTCCGTTGCCCGTGTTGCCACATAGACGTGGAATTCACAGAATTAAACGAATGAGGAAAACCTTGCCACAGCAGTCCCTTGCGTAATTGGGTCTATGGGTTCGTTGGATAAGTAAATAAATCCGGAGGGAGAAGGCTTTCTTGCATTACCCAAGTCTCGAGTGAAGAATATGTCCCTTGAGAAGCCAGCGGTAAATCTAAACTATGTAGTACTGGTATTTATCATGGAGAATGTTAGCCTCGGATACCAACGGATGAGAGGATTACAGGCGGGGCTGGTTGCGTGATCACGCCATTTGTATCCCAGTGTTTTTAATCTAATGTCGGGATGATGTGATCTGTATCGCACTGACAGGGGCGTCTCAACCCTGTGGAACATCTTCGATCTGTCCTCTCGCGTCAAATATAAAGGCTTCGTGTCTAAGATTTTCTAAAATCATTCGGATATTTATTTTTAAGCGAAAGTGTGAAGTCAAATTCGGATCATGTATCAAAGCAAAGCTTTCGAGATTCTATTAACCTTACATCAGGTGAATGTTACCACGCCGCTTTAGTTTGTGTAGTCTCGTCTTGAAACACTCAAAGCACGCGGAGCATTCCTTTACGTTGGCAAAGTGTTACAAGCAGATAGGAAAATCGGAGAAAATAGTACACTTACAGCAATCTTCGTCAACATCCACCGTATTCTGATAGAAGCCCCTCTGAAAGCAAACTCTGACATCACGCCATCCCTGTCGCTCAAGTCAGATCCTCCTCTCTGTATCAACCAAGTAATGTGTTCCATATGGAGATATGATAGCATCTGCAGCCGTTGTAACCCAGCAACCCACTTCCTGATGTACAGGATTCCTGGTGACACCTGTTAGTTTGAAATGTGCCACGTGTACTCTGAGAGGTAGCAACGTCCATACGACATCCATGTGGGTGGTTTAATCCTACCTGCACAGCATTTATAGTCTTGACTATCACTCGTGTTTGCTGGGAAGGTACAGTACCCTTCGAACATCATCTGTGTGTATTTTCGTTGACACGTGAAGAAAATATTATTTACATTTGTGTGCTTAGTATTGCTCCTCTATCTCAGTGTATGTCGTCATCACATTGCCTGCATGTATGTAGTTAAAATTAAAGTAGTTAAAGTGTCTGTGTATGTATACGTAGTCACCATGGTGCCTGCATCTCCGTGTCTGTGATCACCATGGTGCCTGCATCTCCGTGTCTGTGATCACCATGGTGCCTGCATCTCCGTATCTGTTGTCACCATGGTGCCTGCATCTCCGTGTCTGTTGTTACCATGGTAACTGTATCTTCGTGTATGTAGTTACGGTGGTGCCTACGTCTCTTTGTCTGTGTATGGAGCCATGATGGTTTCTGTTACAGACGGACTGGAATGATGGGTTCTACCTTTGCTCCATCGTCCACTCGTTGGGAGGTGAGGTGTCCGGCTGGCCAAACGTGGACAGGAACGACCATGTAGGCAGCTGCCAGAAAGGTACATCTGAAATCCGTCTACATATATGTCCTGTTTGAATACAATAGTAACTCTTCCACTACAGTTTGATAATACTTAATATCCATTTCATAACAGCTATGTTTTTAATGAGTTCTGTGTGTAATATCACATTCGGAATAGTTTGGGATAAACGGGAGCATTATATCACAGACATAACATGTTGAAACAATACAACTTTCTACTTTTTACCGTAACAGTCCTCACACTGTGTCCTTTACATAGGAATCGACGCAGCGAAGGCCTTGGGGGTGGAGCCACTGTTGACCGCGGCTGAGATGGCTGACCCCAGCGTGGACCAGCTGGCTCTCATGGCCTACATCAGCAAGTTTCAGAGGATCACACCACGCAAGGCCAAGGCCGAGAAACTCGTCATGAACTGTACGCTGTCCAGAATCAAGGAGGGCACCCGGGTAAATAGTCAGTTCATTATTACGATCGTTATTGGTTAAGCTCATTTATGTTTAAGGGCGGTGTTGTAGCCGAGTGGTTAAAGCGTTCGCTCGTAACGCCGAAGACCCTGCCGGTTCGATTCCCCACATGGATGCAATGTGTCTAGCCTTTTCTGGTGTCCCTTGACGTGATAGTTTTGGAATAATGGTGCGGCGTAAAACTAAGCTCACTCATTTATGTTCAATAAAATGAAGAAACTCTTGTCGACGTCACAGGTGACGTCAGATTTAAAGAGTGACCGGACTGTATGTGCCCCTTTTGTCGGTGTCAGACGATTCTTATAAAGCACCATTATTATCATGGAGAATGTTAGCCTCGGATACCAACGGATGAGAGGATTATAGGCGGGGTAGTGAGTGAGTAGTGAGTAACACATCTTGTACATTCTGTTGACGGGGCCCAGTCACCCACCCTCACTGATCCCAATACATGTCAGCTATCCGTGACGATCCGGGTTAGAATTGATCTTCTGCAACCCATGCTTCACGTAAGAGGCGGCTAACGGGATCGGGTGGTCAGACTCGCTGACCTGGTTGACACATGTCATAGTACCCCATATAGCTTGAATATAGCTTAGTACAACGTTACACAACAAACAAGTCAGTAACTGTGTTGATGTTCGTTGCCAGGCATCGTTTTCGCTCGAGATTGTAGACGTTGATGTGGCACAAGCGAAAACAAAAGTTGATATCCGGGGTTCCAGTACTCAGCCTCGTTGTGACATGAAGTGGAAGGACAAGGTCGTGGACTGTTCCTTCGTCCCTACTGAGACTGGGGAACACCAGGTGAGGATGCAGTGACAAGTGTGTGTGTGTGTGTGTGTGTGTGTGTGTGTGTGTGTGTGTGTGTGTGTGTGTGTGTGTGTGTGTGTGTGTGTGCGTGCATGTGCATGCAGCAAGTATCAGGTCAGTGTGAATCTTGTGTGACTATTAAAACGCAAATATTATGGATGACGAATTCTTTAGTGTATATCACAACGTTTCTGGGCTGACGAAGGGGCACGGAATAGCCCAGAAACGTTGTGATATACAATAAAGAAGAAGTTGTCATCCATAATATTTGCGTTTTACTTGAACACCAACTTCTAAATGCCTGTCAAGAACCTCATTGTGTGACTATGTTGTAAGGTTAGGCAGCGAGGATGCTTTGACATGGTATCTGGCGAGCAGTGATAAGAACAACATTTCGAATAAAAGCACTCTTTTATTTGACACCTTGCACAAACATGTAGAACACGTCAGGAATATTTTACGATGCTTCTATCATTATTAGCCAAGACCGTGTGCAACGATTGGGCATGTGTCATGGTTCTCGGTGCAACAGATGTCGGCAACTATTTGATCTTATCGAAACATAGTGTAAACGTTTTATTTATGTCTACTACCCCCTTTGTTCACGAATATACAATAGCTGCTTAGCCTTCTGTGTATTGTCAAGAGAAAGATGAATTTTCAACATGGCACTGAAGCTAACAATTAATACATCATACGGCAACAGTTGGTGTTAATCTGTGACGTCAACGTCACTAAAGAGGTACTAGTTAAGATTCTGCAGTGGCGTGAGCGTAATGATGGCGACTGTCTCCTGTGAGTTTAACAATGAAACTCCTCAGTATTAAAGCTGACAGTCCCTCTCCTCCACAGATACATGTGTACTACGATGGGGAAGAGATTCTGGGAAGTCCCATGTCGTTCAAGGCGACGCCTGACGCCTCCAGAGTCAACATCAAGACGTCAGCGGGCGAGTGCAGGATCGGGGATGCGTACAAGGTCTTGGTCAGTAATATATTGTGTATTATATTCTGAATGCCATATTTCTTTGCTATTTGCATTCAGGAATGCTTTTCGAACTATCCAATGTGTGTCATGATATTTCAGGCCATACGAATGACACGCTGGTTAAGGGTGTTGCAATTTCTCTGTGCGGATTTGCGTCCCTTGGATGGTTCAGGAACCAATTATCGTGCTTATGTTTCTAACTTTGTCAGACTTTTTCTGTGCTCGTGTGTTTCACACATGTTATAAACATCTAAATTTTGCATCACTTTGCGCTATCAATCCGCATCAGAGTAGTGGGGATAGCCCAATGGTTAAAGCGTTGGGTCGTCAAGCCGAAGACTCGGTTCGATTCCACACATGGGTACACTTTGTGTTCTGTTGTGAATATTGCTAAATGCAACGTAAAACTAAATTCACTCACTCACTCGCACCAAACTGACAGGGCGTACAAGTGATATACTCTTTAAGTGGCGTTAACCTGACTCACTCATGATATTTAACGGCGTGTTTGGAATGTTTAAACTCGAGAAAGTTACCTTCGATTACGTATATACCATGAGCTGTTATCCTACAGGTTGACCTTGCCGGCGTGACGGGTGGCGAGTGTATGATGGAACTGACTGCGCCGTCCGGAGACGTTAGGACTGTAGGCTGCAACATGGAACATAAAGACATGGTCGGCTCCTTCCACCCAACAGAACCTGGTAAAGTCACCGTTGTTCAGTTAATGCCCAACAACCAGTAAACAAGCATAGCGTGTTCCTGTTATAATGTGTTCACTGTTGATACGTCGTGCCGTCAACAATACATTGACGGAGCGTCTGTACTCTTGCAGGAGACTGGAAGGTCACCGTCAGGTTTGAGGGTCAAGAGGTCCAAGGAAGTCCAGTAACGGTCCGGGCATATGATACGGACAAGGCTTGGATGTCCGGCCCTCAGCAGGGGTTTGTTGGTGAAAGATCCATCTTCAGTGGTAGGCAGCACAGTGATTGCTATGTATAGTGTAGTGTGGTAGAATTCTATCGTTATAAAGGAATTAATCCGAATAAAGTGGAGAATACCGTTTTCATCCAGAAATAATACCACAATAGCTGTGGTAAGTGGGTGATTACTAAAGCCTCATATCCACTCTACGTATTTCATTGGACCCGTGAAGATCCGGATTACAATTGATCTTCGGTGGAGCTCAGGTCACCAATCAGTTGAAGTTAAGCAACGTTGGGCTTTGACAGCCCTTGGATGGGTGACCGTGTTGGCAGCTTGACTCCTGAGAGTTTCTAGGACTTCAGTCCTGCCCCACAACGAAGCATATGTGATTCATGTGGTTCACAATTGCCTCTGTTCACCCAGCAGGAAATGTGGGTACCCGGTGAAATAAGTCGTGAGACTATTAACCTTCTAGCGCCTCACAGGCAGCTTGGGCTATCCGGGGTAATAATGATCAGATTGTGCACTTTGAGCAGGTTATCTAGCCTGGAAAAGGCGCGTTATAAATATTCTCATTATTATTGTGGTGGCGTGTGGTCCTGTGCACGTTAAGCAACGGCGACCTCGGACAGTCATTGGATGGGTGACCGTGTTTAACAGCTTGACTCCTGAGAGTTTTTAGGACTTCAGTCCTGCCCCACAACGAAGCGCATGTGATACATGTGGTCTCACCTTAGGCAAGTGAGTTTAAATTTGTTCAAAATTGCCTCTGTTCACCCAGCAGAAAATGGGTACCCGGTTGGGTAAAGTCATGTAACTATAACCTTCTAGCGCCTAACAGGCAGCTTGGGTTATCCGAGGTAATAATAATCAGGGTGTTAGCGCTTGAACATGCTTTGTTGCGTGGAGATTAGCGCATTATAAGACTTCTCATTATTATTATGATTTATTATTATTTCGGTAAACCCATGCCTGTCGTAAGAGGCAACTAACGGGATCGGGTGGTCAGGGTCGCTGATTTGGTTGACACATGTCATCGGGTCCAAAATTCCCAATTGCGTAGATCGATGCTTATGCTGCTGATCACTGGATTGAGTGATCCAGATTCGATTTTTATTTACAGACCCCCGGCATATAGCTGTAAATTTGCGGCGTAAAACTGAACTCATTCACTTTATAACTACTATTATTATTAGTATTATTATTATTATTATTATTATTATTGTTGTTGGTGGTGTATTATATCCGCTGCTTTATTGACATACTTCCTCATGTCCATATTGCCTGCTGTGTTGTGGTGATAGACAATTCAAGAAGCGGAGTACATGGTTCGATACTTATTTTCCTTCCAGTGAATTGGAAAGCGGCCGGAAGTGACGACATAAGTGTGAATGTTACCGGACCCAACTCTGACGTCGTTAGAGACGTGGACGTTGTGAACAATAGCGGCGTCAAGGAAATACGCTTTGCACCTCAAGAGACAGGACGACACACGGTCCGCGTGAAGCTGAAGAACAAGCAGATCAGGGGTATGTATGTCCGAGGCGGTGTCCATCTAAACACACCAATCCCGCTGATCTGGGTATACCCCGACATCGGGATTATCAGAGCATTTTCGGGAATATATGCATGTAGATATTTATGTTCGTGATGCGTTATGCCTGTGAGCATTGCACGAAAGAATTTGTCCATATCAACATGTGTTTGCAAGAGGTGATCAGGCAGCAGTGTGGTTCCTTGAACTGACTTTCAATCACTGGCTTGTCTGGTCCAGACTCGATTACTTACAGACCGCGGCGTTCGCAAAACAACATATAATGCAGTCTTTTCATTTTCTCTCTGAGTTGGGTTCAGCTAGTATCATCCATATTGTTCTGCAAAACTGCTATCAGTGCACGGTATCCCGTCTGAGAATGTACAAGTATTACGTTTCACCAATATTTAATATTGCGGAAACGGCGTAGAAGGTGTCTCGCTCATTTAACTGTAGACATCTACAGTGGATCCACGTATACATGGTTGTGAAGATGTACTTGTGAATGTGTGTCCTGTCCCCCAGGGTCACCGTGTCAGATGGAGGTGTTCGACCCCAACTCCATCACCGTCATGGGGGACGGACTGTCAGGGGGCGTGAAGGCGGAAGAGGCACACTTCGTTGTTGACTCTCGGGGCACAGGCGTCGACATCACCGTCCACATCGAATGTACGTACCTCTATAGCTGGTCTTTTGTTGTAAGTAGTGGTGGTATTTGAGGGCACATAACTTCTCCTCATGCATGCGCGTCTAAATGCCTGCACCACCACCCTTTCTCGTCCTAGGAGGTGCTGAGGTGACCCTAATGACCCTGGAAGTGACGAACAATCAAATAATCTATTTTATGTGTTTTTATATCATTGATCGATATCAACTAAATGTTAATCGAAAGGATTAATGATTTGCATCAAAATATCATGGTAAACAAACAATCTCTGTGGTTGACTGTAGTGAACAAACAATCTATGGTTGACTGTAGTGTACAAACAATCTATGGTTGACTGTAGTGAACAAACAATCTCTGTAGTAAACAAACAACTATGGTTGACTGTAGTAAACAAACTATCTCCATGGTTGACTGTAGTAAACAAACAATCTCGGTAGTGAACAAACAATCTCGGTAGTGAACAAACAATCTCGGTAGTGAACAAACAATCTCGGTAGTGAACAAAAACAAACAATCTCGGTAGTGAACAAACAATCTCGGTAGTGAACAAACAATCTCGGTAGTGAACAAACAATCTCTGTAGTGAACAAACAATCTTGATGGTTGACTGTAGTGAACACGGCCTGGTTCGTCGTTAGTGGTGTCACGTTGACCTGTTGCTCCTCTGTTTCAGCTAAGAACGGGACTAAGATAGACTATCAGAGGTACAAGCTGCCCAGCGGGGCCACCGAGTACAGCTACATCCCCCATCTTGCCGGTGCCTACAGGATCGACGTCATGTGGGGCGACAGACACGTCAGCGGTAAGCGTCGTCACGTGGTCTCCGTTATAACACTGTATATGTCAACCAGTGTGATTCTGCTGCTCTTGTTCTGTAGGATTAAGTTTAATGCTGCAAATTCGTATATGTTATAAACCCATGAATATCGGGGTTAGAATTAGTCTTCAGCAATCCATGCTTGTCGTAAGAGGCGACTAACGGGATCTCATGGTCAGGCTTGCTGACTTGGTTGACACATGTTATCATATCCCAATTGCGTAGATCGATGCTTACGCTGTTTATCACTGGGTTGTCAGATCTAAATCCAGACTCTATTTACAAACCGCTGTTATTTAGTGCTGCGTAAAACAACAACCAAAACACACCATGTATGTTATCCAAGTACATGTCAAATGAATGGTGTATACATCAGAATAATGACATCGTTGGCGTTTAAATACATTTTCTCTTTATTCTCTTCTTGGAATTTCGAGTCAATATATGGCATGGCTATTATTTACGTCATATACAATCTGCAGTCTCCAGTCATGAAAGCAATGGATGATCTGTTGTTATCACGCTTCTCTAGGTAATCTCTAGCTGTTTAACGTTAAGTACTCTGCACCAGCGACAGTTCAGGCTGGGTGAAGCTGTTTATCCGCATCCTGCTTCCTTAAACACAAATCTGAAGTTCACGATATGTGTTATCTGCATTTTGTGCCCTACATTAAATCACCTTGACACCTTTAATGCTATCTAGATAATCCTGAAAGCAGACGTCGTGGACCGCAAGTGTATGAGCTTTAAACCTCTGTTAGTAATATGCCAACAGTATCACGGTGTGGGAATTGAACTCGGTTGTTCAGTGTGACGAGCGAACGCTTTAACCTCTGGGCTATATTGTAGCCCTCGTTCAGTGAACACAAGACAGCACGTTATCCTGTACATATGGGTGAATCTACGTTTCAAGGTAGCCCGTTCTTTCCTGGATTCACTGACCGTTCTGGTGTGACCTTGCTGGATGACCTTGAGGACCGCAAGGACGAACAAGACCGTATTGCCCTAGAATTCAACAAGGTCACGACCTTGGATTTCGATACCAGTAATGCGGGACCAGGTAATGCATTACTCAAATCATTACTCATTACTCAAAACAAATATTTTCTTGATTGATTGGTCATATGATCTGATATGAGCTACCGGTATTCGGCATCTAAGAAAGTAAGCTTAGTGTCATGAAATGTGACCCTGATTATACTGCAGGGCGGATTTTATTGTATGTTTGGAATTTTTGTATAATATATCTTCCTTAAAAATGGGTATCAGCTACCCAGCTTCATAACGTTCCCTATAAACTGAACTGGATTGTAAATTGCTATTATCAGTGGAAACAGACTCTGACAAACATTTAGCCAACGGTGATTTATGCTTATCCTTCCGGGTACCCACTATAGGGCGTATGACGTGTGAGATACTCGGACCTCTGGGGAAGATACCTGTCCACGTGAACCAGAAACAAGAGGAAGCCACCGTATCTTTTACAGCGAAACATGAAGGTAGGTCGTGTCTTCATCTGCGATATGGTCAGTGCACTGGATTGGTCAATTCTCGTCTTTGATGTAAAACACAGGAGCTAGAACAGCTTGGTTGTCTTAATGACTATGTTATTGTTGTATACTGTATAGGCATCGAGTACAACACGTCATGGTTAACGATGTAACATCGCGTTAGTGAACACCACGAGATGGTCATTCTGACATGTGCTGTTTGTTTGTTGTAAGGTGACCACTACATCCACATCTACTGGTCTGACGTGCCGCTAGAGTGGTCTCCCCTGCTAGCCTACTGTCCGGGACCCATCCTGCCGGTCGACGTCACCAAGGTGCACATCGTGGGCCACGGGGCGGTATCGGCGAGGGCCACTGTCCAGGCGGAGTTTGTCGTGGATGGGAAGAAGGCCGGACCTGGTCAGTTGTACATAGACTAAGGCTTAGTCTCTGAATATATATAATTTGGATAGTAACAAACAAGCCCATTTATATTGAAAAGGAGCCCTAGGGAGACCAGAGATTCAGAGACTAAGAACATCTGCATTGGGGCTACACGTGCTGGGGTCATTACCAATTAGATGTCACATCATACAACCATCAGATAACGCTATAAGTGAAAGGCATATTTATTGGCCCTCCTGTTAAGCCCTGTCCTATCTCCATGCTGTCATCACCTCATGTGGGCCGGGTCAAGTGCCCCTACTGCCTAACATTTTACTGTTGGGAAACTTGCAGCCCACAATGTCACTTGGACACTAGATGACCAAGGTGCAAGATCTGTGTGGAACACCAACAAAATTATTTATGAATTTGAACTTATCTCCAAATTCAAAAGTTTCCATTTGTATAATATGCGAAGAGGATATAGATAACCACTTTTTTTAAACGAACTGTTCAATGGAAGTGAAAAGGCCAGCGTCTGTCTTACGCTTGAAGATGTTCTGGGTATTTCTAGATACTAGATCATCCTCACTAGATTTCACCTTGCATGCGTCACATCACGAAGGTAAACAGATTTAATTCCGAGATGCTGTGCCTTTTGAATTTGGTTCTTCACGAGAAGGCGACTAACAGGGTCGGGTGGTCAGACTTGCTGACTTGGTTGACACATGTCATTGTATCCCAATTGCGTAGATGCTCATGCTGTCGACCACTGGATTGTCTGGTCCAGATTCGACTTATTTACAGACCGCCGCCATATATGGAATATTACTGAATGCGGTGTAAACCCAACCTCACTCACTCACTCTTCATGAGTGCTAAGTCCCTGCCATATGTTTTACTGTTGAGCAATTAGATAAAAAGAGATACTCAAAACACACCAGAGTTTCACATAATAATCTTATATCAGGAATAAGAAAAATAACCCTTGTTTTAATTACAATTAAATCCTTAACCGCATTAACAATTGGGCTGCTATGTGTGGACCCAAGTTAGACAATGAAACAATACTTTTTACAACATAACATTCAGGAGTAACCTTTCCCCAAGATTTTGCTTGATTTGTCTCTTCAAACCAGAAACTGTGCACAAGGACTCCACTATAGCTTCATGTCACCCAATGTGCTTGTTAATTAAGAGTTGACAGATGAAAACGTGAGGCAAGATTCCAGACCACTGGTGAGGATGTTGGTCCGGCCAGCCATGATAGTTAGATATGTTTACTTTGTAACCCGACCCCCAAAGTGAGTTAGTTTTCTTGCAGATGTTAACAGAGGCCGGACCTGGTCAGTTGTACACTTCAGTGCTTGTTACCACACTTCATTCATGTATCTTACACCGTGTTACTGTTGTTCTGTTTTCTGGATGGGGTGTCATGATATGTTAGATGGTTGTCCTTGCCGTTTAAACCTGTATCTACAGGGTCATGGCGCATTATTTGTGCAGCCACGAGGTGTGCCGGACCTGATATTGTGTTGACTGATATGTTTTGCTGAAGGTGTTGGGTACATGATATATATCGTGTTACAGGTGTGTGGTACATGTCACATGTCTTGTTACAGGTGTGGTACATGTCACATGTCTTGTTACAGGTGTGTGGTACATGTCACATGTCTTGTTACAGGTGTGTGGTACATGTCACATGTCTTGTTACAGGTGTATTGTACATGACACGTGTTACAGGTGTGTGGTATATGCCCCATGTCTTGTTACAGGTGTATTGTACATGACACGTGTCACAGGTGTGTGGTATATGTCACATGTCTTGTTACAGGTGTATTGTACATGACACGTGTTACAGGTGTGTGGTACATGACACATGTCTTGTTACAGGTGTATTGTACATGACACGTGTTACAGGTGTGTGGTATATGTGACATGTCTTGCTACAGGTGTATTCTACATGACACATGAAACAGGTGTGTGGTAAATGTCACATGTTCCAGGTGTGTGGTACATGACACATGTCTTGTTACAGGTGTATTGTACATGATACATGTCACATGTCTTGCTACAGGTGTACATATGTACATGGTGTGTGTGGTATATGTCACATGTCTTGTTACAGGTGTATACATGACAGGTGTGTTGTACATGTGTTACAGGTGTGTGGTACATGACACATGTCTTGTTACAGGTACATGTGTTACAGGTGTATTGTACATGACACGTGTTACAGGTGTGTGGTATATGTCACATGTCTTGTTACAGGTGTATTGTACATGACACGTGTTACAGGTGTGTGGTATATGTCACATGTCTTGTTACAGGTGTATTGTACATGACACGTGTTACAGGTGTGTGGTACATGACACATGTCTTGTTACAGGTGTATTTGTTACAGGTGTGTGGTATATGTGACATGTCTTGCTACAGGTGTATTGTACATGACACGTGAAACAGGTGTGTGGTATATGTCACATGTTACAGGTGTGTGGTACATGACACATGTCTTGTTACAGGTGTATTGTACATGACACATGTTACAGGTGTGTGGTATATGTCACATGTCTTGTTACAGGTGTATTGTACATGACACATGTTACAGGTGTGTGGTACATGTCACATGTTACAGGTGTATTGTACATGACACATGTCATGTTACAGGTGTATGGTACATGACACATGTTACAGGTGTGTGGTACATGTCTTCACAGTATTGTACATGACACATGTTACAGGTGTGTGGTACATGTCACATGTTACAGGTGTGTGGGATACATGTCTTGTTACAGGTGTATTGTACATGACACATGTTACAGGTGTGTGGTACATCTCACATGTCTTGTTACAGGTGTGTGGTACATGTCACATGTTACAGGTGTGTGGTACATGTCACATGTTACAGGTGTGTGGTACATGACACATGTCATGTTACAGGTGTATGGTACATGACACATGTCATGTTACAGGTGTATTGTACATGACACATGTTACAGGTGTGTGGTACATGTCACATGTCTTGTTACAGGTGTGTGCAGGGTGCGAATGCAGGGTGTCCGTGACAATCTATCGGTGGACATGACGCCCATCAAGTATGACCGCTACAGGTGTACTTACACATCGCCAATCCCAGGTAAAGTGTCATCTCAGACAAAATAGATGTACGTTCTTTGTTTAAAGAAATACTTGTTTTGTGAGGTACGCAGGATTAACAAATAGCTACATAGTGTCATTTATAATATATGTAAAATACATGTATATATTAAATTTCAACAAGTTGAACTACATGCACTGAGGAGCAACACGTCAGTGTAATACGTTCCCTCCACCAGTTGTTGATAATCTTACAATACTTCAGCCCGCATTATTCTTCCAGGCGGCTTCCTGCTGTACGTTTATTGGTCAGATGACCTGGTGCCCGGATGTCCTTTCAAGATCACAGTGACCCCGAAAGGTGACGTCAGCAAGGTCAAGGTTACCGGCGAGGGCTTGCGGGGAGGAATAGCAGGACAAGTACTGACGTTTCTGGTCAACACAAAGGAAGCCGGCCCCGGTAAGTGACGACTGGGAGCTGTTGTATTCAGCTGGTTCTACAACGACCTTTCGCTAGCTACCCCATATACATAAACTTACAGAGTACAACGACTTTCAGATAGTAGTATTCCAGTATGTCCAAGTGCTCGGACTAATTTCACTTACTCAGGCTTACTTGAGAGGAACATCGTGAACGATTAATTGAACATCTGTTGAGATAGCTGAAACAATGTCATGTTTCCCTCGTGTATTCCTGTATACCTGAGATTGTGTAACAGTTAATGATGTTTAATATCAACAGGGGAGATAACTGCCACTTGTACAGGGATACGTCAGAGTTTGAACTGTGATGTTATGGATGACGGTTGGACTGTCTACACTGAGGCTGACGCCTGTTGAGGCCGAGAAACATCTGCTTCAGATCCGCTACGATGGAGAGACAGTTCCAGGTAGGGATGACGGAGGTTTAAATTCGCTCTGACGGAAAGACAGTACTAGACACGTGTGACTGACTTAAGACAGGGCTGGAAATGCAATACCTGTGAGTTGAGGAAAAGTAGAATTGTTCTATGGTTACTAAATACCCGTTACTAAATACCCGAGCAGAACCATTTACGATTCTTCAACATCTTCAGGTAGTCCGTTTGTGCTCCGTATTGGTGAGCCCCCCGACCCAGACAAGGTGAAGGTTTTCGGACCAGGGTTGGACGACGGGCTGATTCAGACCTACGAGAGCAAATTCCTGGTGGACACTCACGGGGCTGGCGCCGGTCAGCTGGCCGTCAAGATCAAAGGCCCAAGAGGTAAACTTTTAGAACTGTGTCGTATCTTAAAAAGAATCTTAAGGTGTATGCGAGTAACTGATGCACATAACAAACAGCATGGGTAATTGGATCATTTACGGAGCGGAGCGTTAAAGTAGTCGTAGGTGGTACAGTTGGAGCGTTGGCTATTAATGCGGGAACATGTGTTCGATTCCCTGTATGTATTTGGTGTGTAGGGGGTCAAATCTGTCAGCTTGGATATATGCAAACAGTTTTCACTCGCTCGAACAGTGGTTGCTCTGTTAATGTATGTGCTCATGCGAGATAATTGCTTTTCGAGTTACTTCTCATTACAAAACATATTACAAGCAAGATGGTGGTACATATAGCGATTATTCACTCCATCGTTGCAGGTGGTTTCAAGGTCGACATGAGGCGGGAAGGTCAAAATGACCGTAACATTCTGTGTCGGTATGACCCAACAGAACAAGGTCAATACATCATCAGCGTCCGCTGGTCTGGTGTCCATGTACCTGGAAGTCCATTCGAGGTCAACATATTTGAGTCACATGATTCCTTCCGAGACTTTTTACAACAGCGAGGCAGAGATTTGGAAAATCACGACGATCTTGAGTGGCGGGAGGACATATGATTTCAGCTTCAGACTTGGCTTTCTGCCAAATTGTCCATGATTTACACGTATTGACGTTTCCAAGACCGATGTCATCAGTATCACGTGAACAGGTAGTTCGTGTCTGGTACACATGCCAAATTATACGCAAATGAATCTTATATATCTGAACATGAAGTAAGTTGAAAATATTCTCGACATGAAGTACGCTTTGCTCTAAACTCTACAGCTCGTGAAACAGAAATACTCTAACGGAAGCTGATTCGAAGCGTCAATTTCAGCTTGAGTTACATGGCACGATATCATAATTTTGCTGTATTCGATTTTGTGATTTTGTTATCTCTAAGCTTAAACGTTGTACAGTGTTTGGATAAACAAAAAGACATGGCGTCAGTTCTTTCGTTCTGCTAAACAGCTGAAAATCCAACATCGTCCCTGCGTCGTCGTCTGTACTATAACTGTTGCCATTATAACCATCAAATTCAATAACCAAGTGCAATGTTCATGTGATGTTCACCAATCATCAATGTAAACTTGTTATATTCACAGTTTGATTGCTTTAATTCCATTGAGCTGCTGAGCTGTACCGAGGCCATGAATGACCAAAGTCTGTAGATGCATGTGGAACAATTTAGTTCTGTCAGTGTTACTATTAACGTGGTATTGTCCCCTGTCAGAGCAATCTGGCAGGTACCTCTGTGTCGGGATTTAACCTGTCTCTGCTGAATGCGTCGCTCTGTGTTTGTTCATTGTAAATCCTAAGTGTTTATTCCGTGTTTAACTGTACAGCTGTACAGCCCCACTGCTATGTCGATGTACTAGTACCGTCCAAGCTCTGAGGTTGACTGGCTGTAGTCGGTATGTTCCACTTCCGTAGAGCCTGATGGTGGATTTACCTGGTTTGTTTGTGTGATGTTCTGTTTATATTATAGGGGAGACAATATGCATCGGAAATATGTATCCGAAGTACGAGTAGGAATAACTCTCATTATTACAAATATGGGAATATTGAAGACATTTCCAATTCTTCTTCAAAACCAAAGAACCCATTAAGTATAGAGTTTCCGTCCTTTCGGTTGAGACTGTGTATCCCCTGGGTCCCCATGTTAGTCGTATCGATAACAGGTACTGTAGGCCATCTGCCTGGTGCGTACATGTGTATAGCATAATATATAACCTGGGCCTGTTTGACTATATATAATTTAACCCACCCACAAGACTTTGATTTTGACGGGTATCCATTGTTTGCCAATAATCTACTTCCAAACAAAGATAAAGTGCTATATTTAGAATTATGCTTTTTAGTAAAGTGCAAATTCTAGAACGTTTTGGTGTTCAATTTCATAGGATTTGGACGCACACATACTCGAATCTGTTGTTGTAATCCTAAACATAACACGCTACATTCCAATACTTTCTTGAAGGCATCGCGCATTGACATCTAACACATAGTGAGGCTTCCATTGAAATCCCCTCGAGAACACTTTGTGTATCACAATCCATCATTTTACACAGTATGATAAATGCCACGTGGCTGTATACAGTACACGCTGAGTTTATTTATGCCAGTAGGTTATTAGTCAGGGACATCATCTTCCTCTGTGCAGCTCACTGTTAACTGTCTCTATGCCGGTAGTGATTCACCGGGACGTGTCTGCCCTTCTTGGTGCTGTGAGACCAATGTGTCTTGGCAAAATCCAGTTAACCCAGTCATGGGATGCCATTGTTATAATGTCTATACACTGTATGTTTGTCCGCCATATTGTCCATCCGATCTACATACGTCATCCGCAGCAGGGAACCAAGCATGTAGTGTCTTCCCTCGCCTCCAAATACAACCAAATACAATTGTAACCCAGCCTTTGTACAACACCCGACATCATGGCATATCAAGGATTAGACTGTGATAGTTCTTGATTGCAAACTGTCATGATTTTTTGTTTTTTGTTTATTCATTCAAGTCATAGGACACAGGCCCATAGGACGTACATTATCCGCACATACACATTTTGTTATACCTCAATATATAAACGATAAAGGACAATTGCACTGTCATGATTACGGCTCTGTAAAGGAACATCCTGTATATGTAACAACAGATCGTGGACGATATACATATCCGCAGCATCCAGAGCATAGCCATTCCATGTCCACAAAAACCGGTAATGTATTTTAACGTAAATCAAGATGTTAGTATAAAGTGTCTGCTTGATAAAATAGAGCTCGGGTTAATGTATCAGAACACGTTTATGTTGCTCTATACATAGGCCATCCCAGGCACCTTCAAGACTTGGCTTCACTGAGCATCTGTTATTACTGAAAGGACTTACTCGGGATTATATTGTACCACTCGTGGTCATCAGAGAAGGAACCGCTTGTTTTGTCTTTAGTATTAGCGATTTAAATGTACTTATTGATACCCTAATTGTTAGAACATTATCAAACGTGACGACATATACTCTGACCCTTGCTCCACCATTACCAACTAGACAGTCGCCTTTAATACAGCACAGAATGTATTCAGGAGTATGTGTGTTTCACATCGTGTATATGGTAATAGTCAGAGGTGAAACAATTCGCATTAAATGACTGACTGTTTGATATAGCATGAGAACTGTTTGAAACAGTTATTATTTCCGGACATAGTGAGTAGTTGCGTTATTTAAAGCGACATAAACGCAGTTCGTCTCTTTGCAAAGTCTCAGCTCCACACAAGAATGTCACATTGTCTGGTCCTGAATGATCCAGAGTCTATTCAAAGGTTCCCACTAGCCTCTCCAGGGAAAGTGTTGGTGATTACACAGGACAGCTGCCCAGCCGCTTCAGTGGATCTGTATAGTGTGTGTGAATTCAGAGTTGTTGTAGTGTACTTTGTGATAATACGCATAATAAAGAACAAACAACCACAGTGTTTCATAATGTTTCATGGCCAAAAATATTGTTCATATACATTGTATTAAATCGTTGCATAATTGTTAAAACCAGTATGACATGTTGTAGAAATCCTTGTTAATTTCTTGCAATCATCAGAATAAAGTGATCTTGAAATACAATATTGTAGGTGAAGTTATTTATTCGTTAAACATGTACAGTGGATGGAGTATTCAGTAAACATGTAGGGTGACCAATAAAGGTATAGGTATCGATGTATGGAACACCAGGAAGACATTCCTTACAGAACAGCTCCGCCTACAGCCATTGAACTTACATCATCCACTCGTCTTCTGTTCAAGTTGCTCTTCAATTAATGAAGGACGATCAACGACGTCGTCTATTCACGTGTCCATTATTGTTAAGGATGGATGTGATATATGGATTAAAATATCAAGTGAAAGATTATTTTACAGATTTTATCGACATATACTCGTTCGCTTTCAATACTTGTACCTACAATCGTCTCACACTCTCGAGTAGGCACTTCCCTGGTGACCGTTGATAAGTTGGTAATGGATTACAGTTCTTGCCAGAGTGCAATACAGTGATATCTGGCATGTATTTAGTAATAATGAGTTATAATAATTCAAACCACAAGGGGAAACCACAGTACATATTCTGGTCTGGAACGGATCCGTTGTCAACTCTTCACTGTTTGATTTAAGCATAACGACACCGGTAGAAAGTTTGCGTAATCTCACACGTGGAATCTGTTCTGACATTTACTGGCAGTAAGATACCGAACGCTGGAAGTCACATGTAGTTACCGCAAAACAAACTGATATAACTACACATTTGATTTTATGAAAGACATGCAGTTAATGTCTGCAAGGGTGACACGACACAGTTAAAGATAGTCATCGACCCATGCTAAAAGACTGGCAGACTGGACCGCGGGTAACACGAAGCCTACATACACTACAACTGGAATGTCTTTCTCCACACGATAGTAACACAGAATCTGTTTTAAACCAATCTCGCTAAATAACCAACTTAGTGATTGCAGTTGGCATTTTATTGTAAAGTTATGTTCCGAATTACACCCATGCTATTTATGAAATAACCTTTCGATAGCTGCCTCGACATAGTTTTGTGTGATCCCCTGGAGGCTTCTTCAAACGACACGAACAAACGTCAATGTTTTCAACTGTCCATGAAGCTGTCCTTTTCTCACAAGTCGCAGTCAGTAAGGCAAATCAAAAGTATTGAACCTTGCCTCATCCGACATCAGAAATTCTTTTGACATCTACTAGATGGCTATTCACCATGCTTTTTGTCTGATTTGAAACCAACTACCCCTTCCCTTTATGAGTAATGTCTGCAAATTCACGTTCCGCCATTACCGGAAATGACATGTCGCCAATATGGCCCAGATAAGGCCATATACACGGGGGGTAAAACTCACATATTACGCTGTGTAGCATTTGTTTACAATCTTCAGAGATTTCTTTGACTACATTGCTGAAACTATTTAGAGGGCGATTATCGCAGGAATAATTGAACTGACACGGTCCAGTGGTTTGGTAAATCAGTTCTGTGCGATGCCTTAACACACACGATTACGCACAAAATGGACAACATGCATTTGTATTTCTGAATATTTCCCTTGTGTACAATCTAAAACACAAACACAAATAGTAATACACTGGTTGTCACACTATCTCGGATTACTTACACGACACACTTGCGCAGATATACGACCCTTGAATCAACAAAAGTTTATTGAAATATCATGCTTTCTTCTGTCAGGAAACACGCTACTACGGGAAGGTGGGTCACTGGTAGTGATGTCATACGCAAACATTGCTGCACTTATTTGCTTGAAGTTGAAGGTCGGGTGAAAAACAGTAAACATCTATTCTATCTTATTGTGCTGTAGAATTTGGGGATATTGTACAAATAGTTTCACGCAATAAAGTGTACTTGGCTTACATATTAATATTCAATATAGGATTATACCTAGACTTTGACATGAAGATAATTGTGGTTTAAGGATTTGTATAAACTCTAGTTTGTGTTAACAATATTACCTACTACTACTTCCGTATACTGACGCATACATCCAACGATGTTGCGTCTGTTTCAACTACGATTCACGACCAGTATATCTAGTTTTGTGTGGACTGAAGTCATTTGCATGGTAAAAACGGTAAACATTTTGTTTTATAAATCTAATAAATTCATTCAAATTAGAAAATAATGTTATATGTTTTTATATACCAATGTAATACTTCTACGGTGTTTTCATACATAAAACAAGTCATTGCACCTTATAAAAAGTTGTATTTTCTGTATTTGAATTATTTCATAGTAAGGCTAGTACTCCCTTGATATTTGGACAGAATGTATTACTAGAGCAGTTACATTTACACAATCGGGTAACTGCAAATATTTAAGGCTAACTGAAATGTTTTTACCGTTTGCCCGAAGATCGACGTGGCAAGACCAGATGACTTCCGTATCGACATGGATAAATGCGTTAGTTTTAAATGCTTCATTACTCAGTAATGAATTCATTTTATGACACTAAGAAATTCAGGTACGCTATTGCACAGTTCCGCTGTAGCTTACATGAGTTAAGTACTGAGACAGGTAGATGTATACATGTACCAAGAAAACATGGACGATGCAAAGTTTGTAAACGACGGAGTACCAACATCTTTAAATTCCTGAAACACTTTCGCCAGACGTACCTACTTCAGGCATACAATGTTCACCCATCACTGGTAACCTTTGACCTACTAATTCCTTCCTAAAAGAAAAGAGCTTAAGAAATTCAGCTCCTTTATTTAGTATACACCGAATGTTTGTAATCTCGAGAGCTGTACATAGAAAGTGTACCATTGGTTGATTACACGAGGACACAATACAAAATGGCGACAAAAGCACTTAGCCAATAAGGTGAATATTTGCGTCTGTAACATCTAAATTACGGTTGTATCGACGTACAAGTTTGGCCCTTTCGTGTTCTTTCTTTAATCATTTGATTTCTTTTATGTCCACCTTGAATGACTTTAACGACAACGGGGTTAGACGTTACAGTCAAAGTAAAGGCGCTGCTTAACCACATCGCTGGGCACTAAATTGAGGTAATACAACTAAATATACATTCAATAATACATTTCTGAATAAATACTGTAGCAGTTCGATGTTATCAAACATGACATAACAGACGTGTCCAACGTTGACGGGGGATAAGGTGTCTTAGTCCAGTGAGAATACAGGATTACACAACATATATTAAGTACATGACGATGATTGCTATACATGGCCAGCTGGCAGATCTGACAGTACACGGGGTTAGATGTAGGGTTTCATATAAAACTAAGCAAGCGGGTATTCTATGTTTGTGTCTGAATGTTGCTGTCCTAGCTATGTCCTACGTCTGTGCTATGCCTTAGTTCTTAAGTATATACAAGACCCGGGCTACATCCTAGTTGCTAGTTATGTCCGAGATTCTGTTCTACAACCTTGGTACACCCTAAGGCCTACATATCTCCTTGGTCCTGTAACTCTGATCCTACCAATATCCTAGGATTTAAGTATATCCAAGGGTGCATATATATCCAAGGTCTGATGTCTCTCGTCCTAACTATACCCTACGTCTGACGTATATCCTAGGCCCAAGCTCTAAGATGGGTCATACGTTTCAGATCGTAATTATGTCCTAGGCCCCAGCTGTACCAAGAATATAGGTCAACCTATAATGATAAACATTATGATAAATAAATGCAGTGTTCAAGTCAGGGAGCAACATAGTCGTTAGTCAGATAACTTCACCTATAATCCAGGTCATACCTAACGTACAAGGTGGGAAGGGTGGGTTAGGATGGGGTAGGGTGGGGTGATGTGGGGTAGGGTGGGGTGGAGCGGAGTCCGATGCACTAACGTCCTGAAATTAGAGACTCTCCAGTAATATTTTCATATCTTTAGACGATGTCCTTGTAATCTTTTTCATGACTCTCCATGATCCATGAAAATTGTAAAAAAAGCACTATTTCATCATAAAATGTCTTTTTTCATGACACTTCCTGAACACGTGTTACAGTATCCTCCTCCTGAAGACCCCATCATTACATATGACCAGCCCCTATTGTGATGTACTGTTGGTATATCGTGTAGCAGTACTGACATTCGGCATGGTTGCGTCTCAAACAACCGAATCATTTGATCATATCAAATACAAGCATATGTGTATAGTGTATAAAATTAGCATAGCAACCTGTTGCTGTATCCTACCATAAAATAGTAGATTATATAACTTAGCATACTGGCCACATAAATAGACATGTTAACACCTATAGCGTTTATTCAAAATGATCGTTATATTTTGTTCAGCATAGTCGAAGTAATGTGTTTCATAAAACAATAACTTGACTACCACACTCGCAGGTTAAACGGTGGGTCGGCATAACCGATGTTTCGTTACCGGCCGATGTCGAACACACTGTGTATTTTCTTATAATTAATATAAATATATACAGGATACAACGTGTGACTATAGCAATAAACTGATAATTATACTTACACAACGCAAATTACATGTTAGGAATGGATACATGCATAACAAGCGTGCACTGTCTATTGCGCATGTCTGTGCTGGAACTGATAGCGTTTGTCACTCGTGACCAACTCGTGTCCTCATCTTCGAGGTTATGGAAAGGGGCGAGTGTAGACGAATGTGTTAGTCCAGTTGGATATGGGGGTCAAGTCAGACATGCATGTGTGTGCTTTATACCAGCGCATGTGACGTGTTTTTTTGCATATGAAACCTTCAGCCTATGGATGAATGAGTATTTGCTTCACAACGTAACAAAACTTTCAATCGGACGATGTAAGTATTGTATCCACGCTTGGAATCCTGCTCACATGCGTGGACATCGCGCTTGTAGTGTGTTGGCAAGCCATTAAGTCGGCAATACACTCTGGTATGTCTGGAAGCACTTTCAACGTCAGTCTGTACAGCTTGTCGGATCATGTGATCCCTTCAGCTGTAGGTCCTTGGAAGCTGTGGACGACATTAACGGCTACATGAAGCTGTGGACGACTTTAACAGCTGCTTTCTCCAGTTGGGGAGCCAGCAAAGCCATGTCTCTTCCTCATCTGTGTGTTCATCACCCAGCTGATGTAGGCCATGAGGATGTCGTCCATGTTGTGACCCTGAAACATGGACGTCCACAATAACCACGTCTGACTCGATGTCAACAGTTTAAATAAATCAATAAAACCATTCGGTAAACTACGTTTATATGGAACAGAAGGATATAACGGTTTTATTTTGTCTTGGAAACTTTCTGAATGTTTTAGTGCGTATTACGAACTACAATAATAACGAGGTAAACCTTATTGTCCCTCTGAGTTCCTAAAAACCGGCCGCAATATAGCTGGAATATTGCTGAGTGCGGCGTAAAACTAAACTCACTCACTCCTTATAACCGTGGTTGTGACCTTCGCGTAAAAAAACAAAAACATGTCCTCATTATCGAGCAGGAACATGTCCTCTTGCATACATGTCAGTCACCGGTCACAGTATTTTCCGAGTAAACGAGGGTCCGGTTTCACGAGGTCCGAAAAAACTCCTTTTCAGTATGTGGAATATTAAGTTCGTATATAAATCCATTCCCCACGTGAACGATCTGCGTCATTTTTCCCCAATTTAAAAACAAAACAAAATTAATTATCAGCTCCCCGGGGAGAGTACATATGTAACACGTCACAATATATACCACGCTTGTTTCCAGCAGCATCTTGGTTGTCTTCGTGCCATCAATCAACATCAATGTGATTGAGTCTTCATCGAACGCCCAGTTGGGGATCTGTGAAAACTCCAGTGTCCTCAACAGTTTCTGAAATGGAAAGGATTCCCAATACACACAGGGCAATCATGATGCTCATATTCAAGTTAGAATTCAGTCTAGTGGTCTATTTTTTAACTCCCGTCAGTAACAAACGAGACCATATCTTGTGATCTATATGAAACATGCTGTGCTAGACTATATGAACAGAGCGTCTGCCCGAAGACGGGATTTGAGTGGTTCAACCCAGAGCGGATACCCGTTTAACATGGTACGTGTTGCTACCCTGCCTGGGATACCCGTCACTAAGGAATCAAATAAGAACAATTCATTCAATACATTTTTATTGGACCCCCACCTTAAACGTTCACCCTGTTATCCCACCTAAGCGCTACAGAGGCGATGGGGGTAGTCTGATGGTTAAAGCGTCTGCTAGTCACGCTGAAGACATAGCCACAGTGTGTGAAGCCCATTTCTGGTGTCTCTCGCTCTGATAGTGCTGGGATATTGCTAAAAGTGGCGTAGAATCATGCACACTTACCCATAGCACTACTGAATTACTCACAAACATGAAGTAAAATGTAGCTTTGCTACACGCTAGACCCATAGATCCGCAGCAGGGTAATAGTTGTAATAGTCCGCTTATATGGCGCTCATGTCCAGGCACATTGCCTGCTCTCACGGCGCTTCGTACATTACTATCCCCGATCATAGGACACTATCGTACTTTCCGATACTTTTTTCAACTCCCTGGGGATCATACAGCTATGCTGCCTGGCAATGAACTAAACACTCACATTGCCAGCACATCCTCACGGGTACCCATTTCACAGCTGGGTGAACTGAGACAATGTGGATCTAAGTATCTTGTCCAGGGTTACTACGCAAATGTGCCCACCTCGGACCCGAACCTAGGTGCCTCCACAGGGGAGGACTCAGGGTGTGTCTTGAGCACCGTAATGAGGAGTGTCTAGCCAGGATTCAGTTAGAAACAGGCAGCTGTGATCACTTTGGAACACCGTAAAACAGCATGCAATCATACCCCATCCAGTATCGAGACGACAGGAATAAAAAGTTGTTCAAACACTCACCCTGGAACTAGAGTCAATGAGATGCAGGCCTGTCATGTTGATGGCCACCAGCAGGTTCTTGGGAAGGTCTTTCTGTGTCCGTTGCTGGAATAGGAACAATGTGTTCAACACGGTTACATCATATTCAGGAATCAGACACTGCTGGTATGAATAATGCCTCAATGGTTCCCGGAATTATCTTCCTTCTAACAAAACAGTTTTGTAAACAATTACCTTGATCACGAAACTACTTTTACCGTTTTCAGCATTCATAATGTATAAAGGTTCATGAAGAAGTTTTCTTGTGTGCTGGTTGTTGAAACTATATTCCTCACGATAGACATAATATTACAAGTTTAGTTTAGTAAAGAGGCGGTAGATTTACGCAATATCTCTGGATAGTGTCAGCCAGTTCCATTGATCGCTATTCCATCCTTACCTTGACCTCAAAGAATATGGATCCGTACGTCGTGTGCTGGCTGATGACCTTGAGAAAGGAAACCTTGGCCTGATCCTGGCTCAGATCCTTGCCCTCCCCGTAGTACTCGGTAATTGTCTGCGAAGAGGACCCAGACCATTTCAGTAAGAGAGTGGGTGAGTGAGTTAAAACACTGATATAGACACTGTCAGTATCTGCGTTATGTCACGACGTGAGAGCTTCATGCTGGAGGGTAATCACGATATGGCTGAAACAATGCCGATGTGACTTTAAATGTTAACTCACTAACTCACTCATGTCCCTTGCCGTTTTGGGTAATCCACAAGTATGAGTATCGTGAAAACAAGGTTTGAAATATAATCAGGGTAAATATACTGAGAGAAAAAAATAAAGGATCGCAGGAAAATTCAAGCGTTCCTTTATTATTTTCCAGTTTTCATTACCACGGCGCTATTTAAAACTGGTGATGAAAACTGGACATATATTCAAGGAGCACTTGAATTTTCCTGTGTTCCTTTATTTGTTTCTCTCAGTATATATGATTTGAATCAATGAAAGCTTCTGCACAGCCAAGCACTCCCCGCACTTCCATGGAAACACGGAAATTAATATTACGGATGGCTAAAGGGCGGTCACATTACGTTTGTATCACACTATGATGTAAAGGAAGGTGGGCGCAGATCTCTTGCGTGACTTGCTACAGCGACAGTGCACAAATAACGTTATGACAGCCATGTTCGAGTAACGGTCACGTTGATATGTTGGTCACAGAGATATGGAGGCAGTGAGAACGACGCCAAGACTGTGAGTATCAAGATGTAGCAGTGTAATCTGTCTCTGCACCTTACCTGTGACCATAGCTTACCTTAGACCAGTATTCTGGGGACTGCGTCTGCAACAGCTTCTTTGGTGCAATACTCTTGCTGACGTCACTGAAATAGTGACATCATCATGATGTTAAGTAGAACTTAATAGAAAGCTAGCTAAGTCATCAACTGAAAAAGCAACATCTGTATCGACATTTCAGCAACGTGAACTTCAGAAAGAATATTACAGTAAATGTACTAGAGATGGTCCCTTCGTACCTGAAGTTTTCTTTGAGCGGTTTGGCTTCATTGCCGTATTTGGCCCTGTACACGAGAGAGGCCAGTCGGGCCGTGACGGCATCGGCTGTCTGGTGGTACCCACGGATGAAGTTTGGAAGCTCCTGCAACAGCAAGAGGTTTGTTTCACTGGGTACTGAGTCTTTGATCAGGGAGTGGATTTAAATGGTACTACGAATATTGACGATATTTCTTACAGAGGACACATACCTGCGGGGGTTGGAAGGGCAAATACCTGCGGGAAGTGGAGGGCCAAATACCTGCGGGAAGTGGAAGGATACATACCTGCGGGAAGTGGAAGGATGCATGCCTGCGGGAAGTGAAAGGACACATACCTGCGGGAAGTGAAAAGACACATCTGCCACAGTGTCGTGTCCAGGGTCTATGTTGACCCACACCTTCTTCAACATCACCAGGACCGGGGTCAGCGGACCGGACACTACAACACGTATACAGACATGACAGCCACGTGGCCACACATGCACACACGTACCAGCATCAATAATATTGAAACCATCCAATTTACGGCGTAAAATGCCATTAAAACAGTGCACAAAACACCTCATAGACTAAGATCACACGGGATAATGAAATGTGTACAGTTTTTAAGGAATCAATTAAAATGGTCTCCACAGCAGAAGTTTATATTAGTGTCATATTATTCCACAGACAGACAGGCCTACCCCAGCCGTATCTCCTACCCCAACTGGTTTTACTTACGTCTTGCTCTGATGGCGGCTTTCTGAGACACCCAGTACATCTCGGCGTGGGACAGGGCGTCAAAGTAATACTCGTTTGGTTGTAAAGAGTGCACTGGAAGCAGAACAGCAAACATACATTAGCTCGAATGTCTCTGTCAAAGAATAATTTCAACATAAATCTAGATAACAACTTTATGTAACATCTGAATCAATATTATCAATATTCAGTACCCGGATAGTGCTTTATGCTTCATGCACGCATGGTGGCTCGGTGGTGTCAAATCGTGAAATCATTTATCGCTCCTCTGTATTACACAGTATGTTTATCAGCTATCTATTAGCTATTTTCACTGCCTCAAATACTGAAGAGTCCCCCTACTGACCGCTGTCCTGGAAGCTCATGAACAGGCTGTATTCTTCCCACGTCTTGAGGCCAAGTCTCGTGCACACCTCTCGCTTTATGTCGATGATTCTCGTCACTGACGTCACATCGAAAGTCTTAAAACAAACACGTCATATCCGTTTAACACGTTTCAAGGTAGCAGATACCTTTGCCTCGTCAGAAGGAAACCAACGACTCAGGAGTAATGACGTAACAAAAATTTACACTGTAAATGATTCTCCAGACAACAGTACTCCCCACTGCCAGTAGCGGGAAGTTGCGCAAAGCATGACATGATCTGATGGCGTTATAAG